TACTAATTATTCACCACTTTTGATCTTCACTCAAATGATATCTTAGAGCCATAACTACTGGATATCAATCACTCTCAGAAACCACATTCTCTTTAAAAAACACTACAGACTGGAATTCTAATACATGGCCATTGCACACTACATAGTCAATCACCGAATTTGCATATTTCCGGCACTAACATATGTGTGGAAGTCCAATTTTATGCTCAATTGTATTTAACTAACATAAATAATTAAAGCACTGGACATTGGTTGCAACATTAAATTAGTGAGCATATTTTTTTACATCATCCTTTAATTTTGATGAACAGTGTAGAATGTCTACACAACGTTTCCACTGAAACTGAACTTCATTATTTACACATTTACTATAAAATACAATGCATTAAGTAAATACTGTAAAAATTTAATTAATCTTATTTATTACTGAGAAGCAGATATCTACGAAATGCGCCATAAGGGCAAACCTTGAAATATGAAATACCATGTTAGTGTGCAAAAAAGTTCTAGTATAAGATTTTAGCACGTTTTTGTGCTATATGACAAAAAAAAATAGAGTTTTTTTTTTACTTAATTTCACCTTACATACTTTCAGGTTCTAGAAATATCTATAAAGTGATTTTAAAGTAAGAATAACAAAAGGAAGCTTTTGTTTATAAGCATCTTTGAAATAAAATGAAAATAAAATTAATAATTAATGTACATAACATTGTGTACATCATTGTATGGATAAGTAACACAACATACATTGATGTAAAACAAAATTAAATACAAATATTAACTGATTAAACACTGGCCGAATTTTTGTAAATGTTTTACAAAATATTTACAGTAGACAATTTGGATCAAACAAAATCTAGTAAGAAAATTAAGTCGAAAATTACTACGGATGGAGGAACGCAATTTACATAGTTTAAATTTCATTTGTTGCTGTAAAACATTTACTTTAATAGTTTCTCATCACACTCATTGTAACTAGAAGAATGGGAGATATGATGAAAAACTGTGAAAGTTGACAGCTAAGAAATACATATTTAAACCACTCCTCTACAAGTGTGCCTCTAAGGGCTCTTCAACTGAAAGTCAAAATTTGAAAGAATTTTCGATGGTGTGACAGGCATGCCAAGAAGCATTCTAAAAGAATCTTACTGCTTGCTCCCAAAAGCTCTAAATATACCGGCTGCTGTGTACAGAGAGGGATGAAAACTTACACTAATGGAAAAAAAATCACAACACCAAGAATGTAGTGTAATGAAATTTTGGCAATACATTCATCTAGGTAACATATTTGATTGATTAAATTTTCAAGATCATAGGTTATGCAAGCACGAGAAGAGCCATTTCAAATGTGAAATGCTGATACATTAATAACTGACATATTGATCAGAATTTTGAATGCAAGCATGCAAACGTTCATGCATTATGCCATACATGTTTTGGATGTCAGTTTGTGTGATGGAGTTACACTTGTCAGCCAATACAAGGATGGTTAATGTTGGTTGTAGATGATGCTGGAGTTGTCGTGCAATGATGTCCAAATGTACTCGATTGGAGAAAGATTTGGTAATCTAGCCCATCAAGGCAATATGCTAATAGGACATGTTGAGTTACAGTGGTATGAGGGTGAGCGTTATCAAGCTGGAAAACACCCCCTTGAATGCTGTTCATAAATGGTAGCAAAACAGGTTGAATCCTCAGATTGACGTATAAATTTTCAATCAGAGCCTATGGGATAACCATGAGAGTGCTCCAGCTGTCATACAAAATTGCTCCCCTGACCATAATTCCAGGTGCAAGTCCAGTGTGTTTACGCTGCAAAAAGGTTGGTTGCAGGTAATCACCTGGCCTCCTTCTAAACACACAGCCATCACTGGCACCAAGGCAAAACCAGCTTTCATCAGAAAACACAACAGATCTCCACTCCATCCTGCAATGAGCTCTCATCACTGACATCCCAAAGGGCAGTGGTTTGGAGTCAGTAGAATGCATGCTACAGGGCATCTGGTGCAAAACTGTCCTTCAAGTAATCCATTGGTAACAGTTCATTGTATCACTGTGGTGCCAAATTTCAGTTCGAATTTCTACTGCAGTTTGATGTGTCACGGCCATATACTAAACATGGCAGTCTTCCCCTCTCAGCAGTGCCACATGGCTGCCCAGAACCTGGTTTTCTTGAGCCAATACCTTCCTTAGACCACTGCTGCCAACAATCATGTGGATACATTCCTGCCAAGTCTTTCTGCAATATTGTGGAAAGAAAATCTTCTCATAGCCCTATTACACGGCCTCATTCAAAGTCACTGAGCTGTCGATAATGGCTTCTTTGTCTTCTTAATGGCATTTTTGACTGATGTCAAATCTCAAAGATAACTAAAAAATAACAATCACTTTACAGCACATATTTAAAGCATACCTGATTTGCACATTCATAGTGGCACTGCTAGCGCCACATTTATGCGGCTAGTGAAAAATTTGAACACATGCCATCTTTCAGATACATAAACACATCTACCAAATTCCATTTACCTAGCACAACAGGTTGCACAACACCTTCTTGGTGTTGGGATTTTTTATTTCCCTGCCAGTGTATTTTAACAGGTCAAAGGACCATCTGTTAGTAAGCTGAATGTACAATCCTGCTACAGAAAACTTGGTTTATAATGATCCCTTGGAAATAACGAATGAATTTTTGGTACCATCTAATTTCCTATAAACATAATGTTATTTTATACAGCTACAGCAAACTTCCAGATGTACATAAATTGGATATAACAAACTCTGCTTATATCTTGGACTAATTTTTTTTTTCTATTTTCAAAATTTTCCCCAGAATTCCTTCATTTTTTAAATGAAAAATTACTAATCTTTAAATTTACACCATTTAAACTATTAGAATAAATAATAATAATAAAAACACCTCACCTTTAGTTTACTGTTATTTTATCCTTTTTTTTTTTTTTTTTTTTTTTTTTTTTTTTACACTTTTTTCTGTGTCCTAAATGAAAGATTGCATGAGGTAGGCATAGCACTCAATTCTGGAAAAACCATGACACACAATAAGCATACCTTAGAATCTACTGTGTTATTCATTAATTCAAAGAGCTTCATCTAATGAAACAAAGAGCTTGAATCAGTTTTTCACTTTCATCCAAATTCTTTCATTGGGCTCTCTGACAGCAAATTGTTCAAGGCTCATGCTCATTCATAATTGTAAATGTACATTTTACATGGAAATGTGTAACTGGAAGGATGGGTCTAAATCGTGGTTTTTAAACTAAGTAATTTCTTGCATTAAATTATTAATGTACAGTGAAACTGGAAAACAATTAAAAAGAAATTTAATAATTGCATGTAAAAATAACTGTATCTAACTTTTAATACTTCCAAAAGTGCAAAAATTGATTGAAAAATAACACAAAAAGATTGATCAGCTTTGTCAATATTTAAGTTATAATTAACAACTTCTGGGAGATGTGACAAAGCTAATCAATCTTTTTGTGTGATTTTTCAATCAATTTTTGCACTATCTTATGAGATGATCTTATCTTTTTACTTCCTTGTACGAAGTAAAAAGGAAGTATTGTAATCGCGAAAAGTTTCAGGCAGCATATTACAACGAAAATATCCATTTTGACCGCTATTGAATGCAATTTAACGATGTTTTTGCGTGATATCTGTACATAAGGACAGAATAAAATACTCTTTTCCTTCAAAGAAATTATAAAACTGCTTTAAAATTAATTCTGAAGAGAATTTTTCGTGGCGTCTGTACGAACGTATGTACGTACATGCGTAACTCAAAAACGACTAGCCTCAGAACATTGAAATTTTGTATATAGGACTGCTATAACATGTAGATGTGCACCTCGTATTTTGGTTCCAAACGTATATAAATATATTTATATATATATTCACTCTGTTACCCAGCTCAGTGATCTCAGTTTCTTTACTCTTATATGTTTGTAAATTGTACATTTTTTGCTTAAAAAATGATTAAATTATGTTGTTTTTATCTTCCGGTTAAGGATTTTATGCCTTTAGTAAATCTATGTGCAATATTTTTAGAATTATCAGCAATTTTAAAGTTTGTTTAATTGCCGCTAAGCCTGTTTTTAATGGCAGCCATTGATGTTTACATTTGAAACAGGAGAGACTAGTGGATTTGTGCCAATCTAGAGAAACTTAGCTTCACAACAACAAAGATAATGCATTCATTTATTATTGCCAATTAAATCATGCTTAATTCTTTCTGGAATTTTTTCGAGGAAATAAGTAAGTGTTTGAGATTTACTTCATAATTTTTAATATAGATTTTGAGTTTTTATGTATTTTTGCCTTCTCGCGAAGTGAAGTGAGAGCTGAATTAATTAAATGAGAAATACACAATTGTCTATGAAAAACTGTTTCTTTTTTGTTTTGTTTGCTTAATTTCTTTTATACAGCATTCTAGCTTTATTATAGTATTTGAGTAGAACATGTGGCAACGATTAGATAATTTTATTCTTTAAATGATATAAATTTTGTGCATTATGAGTTATAATATGAACGAAATATATGCGTTAACTGTTATATAATTATTAATACTGTTAAGTGAATCTAGCGCCAGAGTGTCGCTATGGTAAACAAATACTAGAGTGAATGTTAAAGAATGCATTTATTCTATTGTGGTTTATGCGCTGTCGGCGAAGTAGATTTAATTCAATCCAATAAGTTTAAATGAAATGCAAGAAAAAACGCGTATAATTTAATATTCCAATACAAGGAAGTCATGTGGTGTACACATCAGATTTTTTTAAAAATCAAATTAGACATGGCAACCCAAGTTTTTGGTCCCTTTATTACAATGGCTTCAACTGTAATATATTTGATAACAACAGTCCTGGAATTTTATTGACAAAAGTAATTTGCTAAATTTATAGCATAAATTAGCATGCAGGAAAAAAAAAAAAAAAAAAAAAAAATTGCATCATTAAGACATCTACAGTATTCAAGTCACAAACCTGTGATAAATTTTTTCTTCAATAGTTCCAGCAGTCAGAAGACGATAAATTGTTACTTGCTTTTCTTGCCCTATTCTCCATGCTCGTTCCCGAGCTTGAGCATCAGTGCTGGGGTTCCAGTCTGGATCATAAATTATAACCCTGTTGGCACCAGTCAGGTTGACACCGAGTCCTCCCACACGAGTTGTGAGCAAAAAAACAAATATGTTGGGATTCTAAATAGGAAAATGACAAAAATATGCAAGTTAAAAATTACATGGAAATCAAATATTCCTCAAAAGTTAGTACTTTTGAAATTATGGAAGCAATCTTGATTAATAATACAAAATTAAAAAATTATAATTATTAACAGAAAAATTCAATCATGTCATAAAACATATCAAAGAAAAAATGTGTGACAGAATAACAGTAAATTTCAGCATTCTCCATTGTTCTTATAAATAAAAGTTTTAAACGCTAATCTAAGAAATTACTGGATACCTTGGTGTTTATCTTTTTAATAATCTATACAACTTTTCATTGATTTCCCATTGCAACAAATCTTGATGAAGTTTAAAATGTCATTATTTTCAATTAATTAAAGTCTGAATGTGATAATACTTTTTCTTAATAAATCTTATATGAGAAAAAGGTTTCAAGTAAATTTTTTGACAAACAAAGTGCAGCAAATTTTTTTGATTTTATTAATAAAACTAAAAATTTTACAATTAAATTAGATCAATAAATATCAGATTTTAATGAAAGTTTCCCCGCCACCATAAATATCATATGTGCAAACAGTTTGCAATAGCATGTTTAATCATGTTTCATCAAATGGTTTTTGACATCTGAAAGAAAGAAACTTGCTTTAGAACACTGTGTTGTGAAATTTGTATAAGATTATCGTTATTATTAAAGTACAAGGTGTCTGAAATGGATCTATCATGTTACCAGATTAAAACCATCATTTACTTTCAGCTCTGTTGCAAAAAGTAAGCTACAGAATGTTGCTAAATTATGTGTACAGTTTCAGGTACTAATGTTGTATCATGTGACACTGTGAAGGTTTGGTACCGAAAATTCAAAAACATGGACGATGGCATTCAAGATGCAGAGTGCTCTGCTGGGCCTACTGATGCTGATAAGGACCGCCTGCGAGAACTTGTGGAAGAAGATCAGTATGCAACCACTCGAGAGCTTGCTAAGGAGTTAAACATTAGTGCCATGTCCCTTAATCATGCTATATAGGGCTACACAGGCTGAAAAAAAGGTTGGTCTGCAACCAGTGAGCCCGTTGGCAGTGTAGCAAAGCACAATTTGACTAACAAAAAGATTATGCTTTGTATCTGGTGGGAATGCCATGGTATTATACCCCAAAGAGTATCTGGAAAAATTAAAAACCTCGACACTAAGGTGTATAGCGAGATGCTAATCCACGTTGACACTGCTGTCAAGGAAAAATGTCAAACTGAGTTCTGGCACAAAAAAGGTAATGTTCTATCAAGATAATGCAAGAACACATGTGTCTGCATTCACCATCTGGACCCTGTATGGGATCTTTTGCCACATCCATCATATAGCCCCGACACACTCCTTTGGACTTCCACCTTTTTTCACACCTGCAGCTACATTTTGCAGGTGCTACCTTCCAAAATGAGGTTGATTTGTTTTTGGACTCACGACCAAGTTTCTGGGCTTAAGCTTTTGGAAAACTACCAAAACTTTTACAAAAAATCATAGAGTTGGGTGGTGATTACTACCTGCACTAAAGACACTGTTTTCATGTTTTTTTTTTTTTTTTTTTTTTTCCTTAACATTGTTAAGAATTTTTTTTTTTTGCAGAAAACTTTCATTACAACCAGATAGATTGTTTACAAAGGTTTAAAAAAAAAAAAATTATAATCTAATTTCAATATATTTATATATACACAATATTGAAAGTTATCAATCAACTAACATGAATTTTGATAAGCCAGCAGATGGTAGCAGCCCAAGTGGTTGTGAAAGGAGGAAAACAGCATTTCTCCATCTGATCTCAACAATAAGCCAAACTCCAAGACATACTTATTTGGAGTGAGATGTTGTCAAAACTAGTTTTCTTTTGTTGGCATCGCAGTGGGGAAGAAAGAAAGAATAAGATTCTGAGGAACTTAAGCCAGTTAACATATCAAACTGCCCTCTTCCTTGACTTTCCAATTAGATCTGCATATTATTTTTTCAGGCTACTATTATTATAGCTATTTTATCATAATTAAAGTTTGAATTTTGAATTTAAAACCATACTAAAACGAAGTCAGCATTATGGTTTTTAATCATTATTGATTAAATATCATTATTGATAGTGTTGTGTCACAAATTTAAATTAAGTGCATGATTTGGTCTTATTTAATTGAAATGTTTGAAATAGATCAGCACACAGTATGCAACAAGTTAAAAAGCTTTTGTTACATTATTTTCAGTTCTTTTGTTGATATTCTCATGACTGGAGTTAGGAGTAGTCTAAAGAGTATTTTTCTGAACATCTGTTCTAGAAGTAGAGAATGAGAGCTTGTTAAAGAAACCAGCTAGTAGTTATAATGATCAGTGTGGTTTCTTTGCATCATTTTTTGTTGTTTTGAAATGGGAAAGCTTCATTTTCAAAATTATTTGCAGCTTCTTGTGTTTTTGAGAATGGAAGACCTGTCGCAGACTCTGTTACTGGGTGTGTGGAGGTATTTTCCCCCCTCTCAATTATTAGTGACTAAAGAGAGAAGCGACAAACTTTTCTTACCCAGGAATTAAACGATGGAAAGTAAGTTTTCCGCTGCTAAAGATAAGGGATCGGATTTTGTTTCTCATGTGTTTGATAACTCATTGCTAGGGGTGATCAAGATGACAGGCTTTGTTAACTGAAATGTTTTCTTTAAAAGCTTCAATGGGAAATTTTCCAATGAGAAATTAATCAGCCATAAATTTCATGCTTACTTTCAGCCTATGATATTTTTATGGGCATGGGAACCGAGAGGGTTGCAGCAGAGTAAAATTCAGCTCTAGTCTAGATTTTGAAGAGTCAGATGACAAAAAAGAGATGTGAGGCTTTTGCCTCTCCATGTGGGTATGTGGCCATGGGCACTGTCATTCACTATAACCTTCTTGATGATTTTACGGATTGAAGAAATGGGTGAACACCTTTGCATCACCAGCTCACCTTTGGTCCCATGTTAGTGGGGAGAACAGGCAATGAATGTCAAACTTGGAGAAGAAGGTCGACGAAGCCTAGAGACTTGCTTAAAGTTTCAAAAGAGAAGAAAGAGACAAAATGGGAGCCAGCTTGTCTCGCTGAAGGTTTGCCTACATAAGCTGGCTGTGGACTGTGACTTCTCTAGCAGTTGCAAGCCAAAGGAGAAATTTTAACAGATGTATCAGTCTTGTCGAAGATAATCAACCCAAACTCCATTTAAAACAGTTCTTTAATTAGCAAAGTAGAATGCAACTGCATTCAATTCTGGGGTAGTGACTCAGAATATCTGCTTTGGGCTCAGACTGATGTAGAAATTGACCCAGACATTGATACCTATTTAGAATATTTGTTTTCCTGTTCCTACTGAGAATGTGATTGCTCTTGTGATGGTCTGGTTAAGAAACACAAGAAAAAACTGTTCCACTGTTCCAAAGTGGTATATGACATGATGGGTAGAACGGTTCCTCTCTTAAACAATATGAGCAGTCTCTTATTCATATGGATTCTCCTTTCTAAGTCTCTTATTCTTAGGATAGCAATATTTTTTTTATTGAAATACAAAGTCTGTTCATGTAAGTAGCATTTACCTTCTTGCTTGCAATGATGTTTATGCATAGCTATGTAAATGAGCCAAGAATTAAAATTAATATCTTTCAATGCTTCAAAGGATGTTTATTTGTATGTTTCCAAAGATTTAAAATTAATATTTTTCAATGTTCAGAGATTAGGATAAGGTCCTGATGTGTATGTTCAATGCAAATTTAATATGCCATAATGTTATTATCCTTTAAGTAAATATTGTAATATCGGCCATCTTAACTTATGACAAATTAGAATTAATAAATGAGTTTATTGTTAAATCTTGCATGCATTAGTTTTGTTATTATCCTGAGGTTTACTGCAGTCACTCTATTTGTTTGAGCAGAACTTCTTGGAAACATGGAGCTTCACATTATGGCTCTATCAGAATTTGGTCTTATTTAAAAATCAGAACTCAAACTTGTCCTAACCACCTATAACTGAGATATTAGATCATTTGAGCACATTGAGGAATTTATTAAACTAAGCAAATTTATTATTTTATGGAGAAATGACTGATTGACATTTATGAATATTTCTTCCTTGGTGTTTATGAGGTGGTATATTAATGCACTGAATTATTGTTATCTCCAGAGAAAGTCATATAAATAATTGTGTGTTTAGTTTACGGTGACTTAAAGTATTGGTATTTTTTTTAAGAAAGGTAGTATTCTTATGGGATATATAAATTAATAGGTATTGCATTATCTGTAGAAAATATAAGCTTGATTTTATGCCCAAGCACCAGCAAAGAGTTATTTTTTTTATTTTCAAGTTACTGAATTGGCAAGTTTGAATACGTTAATTGATTTTAAGGATATGGGTTTATAGATTTAATTGATTTAGATCAATCCCAGTCAGCTTCCCCTCACAGTATAAGGTACAGGTTCATAGAATATTAAATTATTCCTCTCCCTTTTTTTGTCTGGCACCAGTGTGAGAGAAGGTTAAGCTAGTTTAGCTTTATCTTAAAATCATTTAAACAAAATTATTTAAAGTACACTTCAAGTGACAAAAAGGTTGTTGAGAATGAAATGATTTCAACTGATAATGCAAGGAGAATTTTGATACTGCATTAACAGGACTTAAATAATGAAACTTGAAACTGAATAAGAATTCTCATCTTCTTCAGGTTGAGTTTGTCAGGTACCAGGCATCTCTGCTAAATAGCATTTTTTGCCAAACACACTAAACCCAATGCTTCCTAGCCCCATTTGTTTGGCTCGCTCACTTTGTTTATAAAGTCTGACAGCCTCTTAATAGATCTCAGGTTTAACTTTTTAGTACCGAGAATACCTAAAGTAGTCAAGTGAGTGAGGACAAGGGCATCACACTCATATATAATATGATGTGCTTTTTTCTCATTCTTACAGCATTTCATGCATATAGGGCATATAAGAGATTTGGTGATCTACTGGCAGACTGGCATATGTGATGAAAAATCAGAATAGTTGACAATTATGATCTTATGAATGTTTTGAAAAATTTTTACTCAAGTCTCAGAGGAAAAATACTCAATATTCTGACTGAAAGTGAAAAAAAGTTGAGAAATTTTGATCTAAATGGTCTCAAAAATCCAAACAAAATTTTTCAAAAACCAAATTAAGAATGATCCTGTACATGATATGAAAAACATAAATTCTAGTTAAATTATTAATGAATACGTTTGCATAAACACAAATATGAAAATTGGGCAATAATAATTTTCTACTCATGATATCATGAATGTATAAAATATGACCCGCCCTCAAAAAAAAAAAAAAAAAAAAAAAAAAAAAAAAAAAAAAAAAAAAAAAAAAAACTTTAATTTAGCAATACTTTTTTCAATTCCTCAATTTAATTTGGTTACATTTCCTTCCTGTTCTAAAACTACTAATATGTCATTCTAAAATGTGTCACATGAAAATTAATCTGCATTATGCCATAACTTAAGAATAGCATTATGGATATTTTTTTATCTAATCACAGTTCAAAATGTAAACAAAGGATCCAAATCTATAAATGCTGCTGTTACTGCTGCAACCCTTTCTAGCCATCACATATTGTTTTGTTCTTCACTATCTCGTCTATTGTCTCCAGATGTGATGCGTTACAGAAAACTATGGGGTGCAGAGTGAACCCATAAAGAAGAACATGTGTCCTAAATATTATTTATCAAGAAATAAATTAAGTATTGAATCTACATCATGTCTGCAAGTTTTTTCTTCTCAATTATCCATCTAATGATGCTACCAACATCTTGCCAATACAAGGAGTCATCATTCTATCTATGTGCAGTAAAGAATCATCAAGTATCCACCAAATATATTACATGTATATAAATCATTAATCAAATGTTCAAAATTTTTCTCATTCAGGATACATGTTTATATTTTGAAACACTGAAAACATACAAAATTTATTAGTTAATAAACTTTTGTTAAAAAAATTCTTTCTCAAAGTATGAAACTTACAGAATTAAATTTATTGATAGCAGGTTGACGTGATGAAATTGAAGAAGTTCCATCCATTTTCATATAGGTATAATTTTTACTCTTGACAAATATTTCCAAAATTTCCATCATCTATGAAAGAAAAAATCATTTAAAATTTAGAATAAAAGTTAAACAAATTTACATATCATTTTCAAAACAAAGAAAAGAATATTAAAAGAGATATATTTATTATTTAAACTTTGTAATCTACTAAATTAAAAATTTTGCCCATGCTGTTAATATGTTATAAAAACTGCATTGTTAATGCTTAATTTATCCAGAGCTAAACCTCTTATTTTTAAATCTGCCACAAACTGCAAATAATTTTAATCAAATTTATTTTGACTTAAGTTTCCTATTGATGATGATAAAAAAAAAAAAAAAAAAAAATTCAAACATTCTAGAGAACATTTATTTGGTTGCGGGAGGGGAGGGGGCAAGATCAGAGATAGTAACACTACCCCATAATAAGGTGCGGGAAAAATAGTGCGAGCTTCAAAAACATAGTCATGTAACTAACAAAGCACATTTTATTTAGCATATGGTACTATGAAAATTACTCCCCATCAATTTATATAATTAAATATAAGCATTAAAAATCACACTGGAGTAAGTAGTCTTTAATATGAACAGAAAATTCTACAAAGATGACTATTTTGTGAGCTGACTAACTGACAAATGAATTGTAATACCAGTTGGCCTCAAGGTTAGCCAGATGCGTCAGAATGATTGAATATGATGACAGCGGATCTTCCAGAATGCACAGACAGTGGAATCAATTTTCATGTATAGATTCTACATATTTAATCGCATTATACTCTGTATCTACAAAAGTCCTTACCCAAACTTTATTTTCACAACTATTGATCTTATATATTTACTTCCATTTACAAAAATGTTTCAAATGATGTATATTTTTATATTTTTAAACTAAACAAATTAATTTTGTATAAAATACAAAATCTAACTTTTTATATACATTCCACCAGACCTTATACTTTAGGAAAATTTTGTACTCATTATTAAAAAAACCCCACAAAATATTTGATTCCAATATGACTAGAACTGACCGATACATACAATTTCAAAATATGTAATTTTTGTTATCATTTTCGGCTTGCATTAAGGGGCCAGTTAATAAATAATTTAGAATAATTCAAGGTTGATTTTTTTAAAAACTCTTCACTGGCATTCAACAATATTCTTTTGCGATTTACTACTGTCTTTAATTTATGTGTCCTGAAAGAATTTTCATACAAGTAATATGTATGTTTTTAAGTGCTAAAAATACATTATTATTAATTTAGAATCATAACCAGGTAATCATACAAAGATAAATTAAATTCCATTCGTTTATATTTTTTTAATTCATGCAAGTTGGCTCATGCCAATTTATATGCCTAGAACATGATTTCTATTCTGTGAATAAAATTCATATTATGAAAAAGATGGCAGGACTCAGAGAAAATAGTTTAATAATAATAAATAAATAATGATTATAAACAAATAAGATAGTTATAATTTTTTAAAAAAAATTAAATCTTTTGACAACTGCACCTTGGGAACAAACAATTTAAAAGCTTCAAATCAATTTTTAATAGCAGCAAAAGAATCATATTAGCAACTAAACATCTGATAGTAATACCTTAACAAACATTTGGAAAGAAAAAAAAAAAATACCTGTCTGCTCTGAGTGAACAATAAAACTCTGTGTCCTTGCTTATGCCACAGACGAAGCAAGGCTTCCACAACTATCATTTTTCCAGACCTTTTGTAATAACCATACTGCTCCTCCTCAGTCAGAGAACTTACATCAGTATCCTTAAAGATTTTAGGTCCACCATCAAATATGTCAGGATGATTGCAGATTTTTCTCAAATTTATGAGTCCGACAAACACCTGTAAGGAAACAATATCAGTTTTCACTGTATTTAAAATGATCAAAACTTCTATAATGCAGGAAAAATTTTCAAAAAACATTTCTGTTTATTATGATATATTAAAGAACTAGCCTTACTATACAGTTGCCCTTACACAGCCTTTATTTTTGCAATCACTGGTGATAGATTCATATTCCCTGTTGCAAAAACGTTTTAAATGACACAAATATTCCTATTCTGGCACTTTTTAATTAAAAAAAATCAGTTTTGTAAAAAACTACAGTATCTAAGTTTTCATAGTTTTTCTGGTCTTATATTTAAGGAAAATTTATGCTCATTATAAAAATTAAACACAAAATGTTTAACTTATGTTAACCATAAGACAAAAACAGACCAAGATATGGGGATCCATAAAAACTGAAGCAGGAAATGTCTACATTTGTGTGCAACAAAAAATAAAAATATCAATTTATAAAAAGGTTGCTGGTCTTAACAGATTATATGATAAGCATTTCTAAACAGATTTTCGAGAAAAGTATTTATCCACATAATTTTTTTTTTTTTTTTTCCGAAAAAGATCTTATTCACAGAATCTTATAGAACTTGTGTTCTAGAATATACTGGAAGGCTTCAGTATTAGCAGCTAGACAATATGTCAAATTATTTGCATAAAATAAAATGAAAATATTTCTATTTTAATAAACTTTTATGAATGATTGTTAGATTATGATTCCAAAGTAACAAAAGTTCATTAACATATTTTCAGCATTTGTGAACATGTAAATCGTGTGCAAATTCTTTTGGCATACTATTTACAATAAAATTATAAATTAAAGACTAATACACACTATCAAATCACACAAGAATATCACTGAATGACATTTAAGGGGGGGGAAATCAACCTTTAATTATTCTAATATATTTATTAACTCAATCTAAAACAAGTCACAAATGATAAAAAAATTTCCAGAAATTTTGAAATTAAATATCTTGATCAGTTTTTATTATATGGTAGTTAATCATTTTTGTGTTTAGTTTTTTGCAAGAATAAAAGTTTCTTAAAGGGAAACAAGACAGACCAGAATATCATATTAAATTAAAAATATAGATTTTATGAAAAACAAAAAGGGCTACATTCTTCACAATTTAATTCCTTTTAAAATAATACAAGGTGATAATATTTGGTGGCAACAATCTGAAAAGTGATGAGCCATTTACAATGAATGAACCATAAAATCCCATTTTGAAACTAATAGCACATTTGGGCTAATAATGATTCAGGGGCGACCCAAACAAGGTCATAAGGTCTGTGTTTAGAGCAGGTAAATGGGGTCACAATCCTCTCATTTGTAACCCCTCTTAAAAAAAAAAAAAAAAAAATTAAAGCGAATGAACGCTTATAGTGAATCAATGCAGAATGTTTATAGTGAATCAAAACAAAATTTATAGTCCTTCTGGGCAAACTGCCCTCTTGGACTAAAAATCTGATCTTATATTATGCCCAAAGGGGCGTTTCTTTAACGCTTGTATTACCTTTATTTATTAAATATTATGTTCTTCGCACCTAAACCATAAAATTCAATTCAACAGCAATATCATAAAATAATTAAAAGAGCATATCTTTAGAATTTCCGATACACAGTCTCGTGTGCTGGAGATAGAAATGTCCCTCCCCCTGTACAGTGTTACCATTGCTCGCTTTGAAATCATTGTTTGTTAATCAAAATAATAAATTAAAATATTACAAAATATGAAATTGATAATAAAACAAATTCCAAATTTGGGCTTGCAGATGTCCACATTTGGTAAAGGATTATGTTATTAAAAATTTGACGGCTCTAGGTACCATTGTTTTATCACAATGCGAGAAACGTACATACATTTAAGCAGATTCTTCATTATTTAATTTCTCTAACACAGGGCGATAATATTTGGTGACAACAACTTGAAAAGTGAAATGGACATGTACAGTTTTCAACACAAAATGCCAAAATGAAATTAATAGTTCTTCTGGGCTAACATCCTTTGGGTTTAAAAAAAAAATTGTGCATTTATTAGACATTTCTCATTATAAAACAGCAATTTACCAATAATAAAATACACATTGTTGTGAGCTACAGATAACAAATGAAGAATGGAACAGGTGCATTAATTTGTTACACTCATTTACAAGTGACAAATTTCATTTCAGTCATTCAAGTCATAAATCCTCTGTTTCCAAGTCCACATACATACTGTATTAGATAATTATTGTATAAATAAACTGAATAGCTATTGCTAATTATAATAATCATTAATATTTCTTTATTCTTCTTTCTTTACCACAGTAGACTATTATATTTAATGAAGTAGTTTACCTTTATTCTAATTGCAAACAAATGAAAAAGGACCATGCTCATTGTGAATAATTCACCTACATATTTATTTCTTACAAATGTATCCTAAATGCAAGGGAAGGGAACTTATATCTGAGTAACTATGGTAAATTTTCTGCCAGTGTCCTTGCATACAATACCAATATTTGACTGACTATACCGATCATTGCCACATAAAAAAAAAAAAAAAAAAAAAAAAAAAAAAAAAAAAAAAAAAAAAAAAAAAAAAAAAAAAAAAAAACCACTTTTCCAAAGAAATTTTTAAGTAAAGGAGGTGGAAAGCATAAGACTTTCTTTCTCAGCATTACTGTTTTAATAAATACAGTAATTAATATGTTTAATAATAATATTACTTGTTGATGCACAGTATCTATGCAGCAATATGTACAATTCCAGCACACTATCTATGCAGTTCTACCCTGAGATATGGATCCAAGGACCTCCCCTCCCTCTTTCCCTACCACCAAACCAATCAAGGGGACTTTTGGATCATCAGTACTTTAAATGTTCCCACATTTTGGAGACACTACACTTACAAACCTCTATGCCTTCTTTGGGATTCACGAAATAGGGACAGAAGATATGGCAAACTTGTATTGGCCACCAATAAAGGTGCCCAATGCCTTGACTAACAACAATTACCCTCTACCTCTTGTTCATGATAAATTCATGAACTTAATCATGATAAGGTTCAGTAACAAGTATTTTTGCTTCAATGAATAAAATCCATGAATTTTCAACAGTATGCCAGAACTTCATTCTTATTCCAAAGCAAAAGAAGTGCCCAGAAAAAAAAAAAAAAAAAAAAAAAAAAAAAAAAAAAAAAAAAAAAAAAAATTAGCATTTTACCTGTAATCTTGCATTCAAAATACTATCCACTTCTTTTGAACTTATGTAAGCTTTGTACAAATTTGCTTGTTCTTCTGTCAGCTGGCAAAATAAAACCTGCAACAAAGAGTTAAACATGAACTACAAAATATCAAGAAATATTTTATCATCAAGTAAAGGGGATGAAAAGCATAGAATTTTCTTTCTCAGAGTTACTGTTTTAGTAAATACAGTAATTAATATGCATACTTTTCCTTGTTGATGCACAGTGTTTCTGCGGCATGGGGGTACTTAAAATATTACCGAACCAAAAGTACCCTCAAGAGGTTGATGTAGGATAGCACAGGAAAAAGTGGGAGAATGGAACACCAGAATTTAACCATTAGTCAAACAAATACAATTCCAACACAATAACTATGTACCCATCATAAATATTTTATCATTAAGTACAAAGAAACACACTCAACTATTTTGATTATTACCTGCTCACTTTTATTGGGTAAATTGATGCTCATTTTTACATCGGATTTCATCCTCCGTAGCAAATATGGTTTTATCGAGTCTCTCAACACTGTGGCACATTTGTAAGCTGTCTGAACCTAAATAACAGAAAGAAGATATTTTAAAGAAAATCAATATAAATTGCAGTGGTTTAGATTAAGATCATGAATGGTATGCTACTGTGGTTTTGCAAAAAATCAAACCATATATAGTCAAATTAAATAAAGTGCAATAACAAAAATAAATTAATAGTGCAATAACAAAAATAAATTAACACATGAATTTTGCTATAAGAAAAATAAATTAACACCTGAATTTCGTTATAAGAAAAATAAATTAGCACCTGATATGAATAGTAAGTGTACTGATTTATACAAATTAATTATTTAATTAGATAATTAAAATACATTCAGTCAGCATACTATACATTGTACAAATGAAATTAATTACTGATGAATTACTTCCAAAATCAATAAGAAACATATGATTTAAAAGCTCTTTCTACATATTAAACTGATATTTTCATCAATCTATAATATCTCAATTCTAAAAATATATGCACTGTGATATGAGCCTAAATAAAGTTTACCTAATTCTTCAAAAACTATGTAAAAATTGTCAATTAAATAATGTGTCAACTAAATAATATTTGAATGTTTTAAAAGTAAATAATGTTTGAATAGCTAACTTTAAAATGCACTTTTTCTTGGTTCTGATATCAGCTAAAAAGGTTTCTTCTGAAGGATAATGTTCACTTTTAAGAATTAAATTAATTCTCCCTCAATATTCCCTCTTGGTGATAGCCTCTTAGTCATTCCCCCTTCTCCACACACACAGGTATCAAATTGGTGGACACCAAAGGAATTTTATGCAGTTTAGGAATGCATTTCAATTATGTATTTGTTGCAAAGATTTCAAGATATTATTTTCAAGATTCCATATTTACATTATTTTCATTAGCATAAAAAACAAACTTGAATAATGCACTAGAAAATCTATAAATGGTGCAAATTTATTTACAGTGTGATTTAAATTTTATTCAAAGACTTGAAGATATAGATTTTATAAACTTTTATTCGCACTTGTCAAAAAATAAATAAACTCGGTTACAAATCTTTGCATTAAGAATAATTGCTTTGTTTATAAACAAATTTATATGTCAACAGCCTTCCTTTACAATTAAAAATTAATATAAGAAAAGAACATGACTAATCTATAAGCCTCTACAATCTGTGATGAAGGTAATTTCTATAATCTTTCTCTAACGTTACAAACTTTTATTAGAATTGAAATGCCATCGAGTGTCAAACTGTAGCAATAAATAAAGAAATTTATTTACATACAAGCACATATATTTGTATCTGTACATAAAATAATAAATAAGAGAAAGAGATTAAGTTGCCATAATTTTTTTCAAGTTTTGTTCCACTTGGTAAATTTTCTCTGAAAACTTACATTTTCATACTTTATTTATTTTTAGTTTAAATTAATGTAAGTTATTTAATGATCATTTAAACATGTTAGAATTATCTTAAAGAAAGTCAGTCTAAGAACTTAATATTTAGCTGTGAATACACTTAAATTATACAAAGCATCAAAATACCAACTAAAATGATTTGCAGGTATGAAACTTTAAATTTCAGATAGAAAATAAACATGAATCTGAACTTTTCCTCCTTTGCAATATGATTATTATTATTTACAAATGTTCTGAGAAATATTTAGTAAGCAAAATTTAAAGTTTATTAAAAATATCTAAACACAAGAAATTTTTGGTAATCATAATTCTGCAGTTGCTACAACAACAGCTTCAAAACAATCTTCTTGGCTCTTTAATTTCTACCACATAAAACCAGCAAGATAGGTTTCCATATGACATATTTTTCAAAAGCAGGTACTTTTCCGTTTTGCCGGCGCAAACGATAAAGTCGTCAATAATGGTACAACTGATGCAAAACGGAATATCTTTGCTGGTAACCTTTTATGCTTCATTTTCAAAACAAGTCGCAGCCATTTCTTATCAGATTAATTGTTTCTTTCAATACTGGCATACAATTACATAGAATTTTTACAAAAGATAGTTCAATTTTATACCTCAAGACCATTTGCGGTAATTAAGTCAATTAGGATGCAATCGCACCGCTCACCCGAAGGCGAAAATAAAGGAAAAGCAAAATTAAGGGTTAAACTCATCAATTCTAATGAGAATGCACTAGCGAAGTAAAGCACTGCGGTTTTCATAATTTCTGAGTAAGCTATTCATACGAATTGAAATAATTCTTGCACTTAAACCTTTATTCCAAATTAAGATTTAACTTGAAATTAATGTAGATAATTACTGAGAGAATTATATTTTTGTAGCGTAGTTTACGTAAGATCAGACCATTTCGGGTCACGTGAAATGAACCGGCGAATCAGGATGTTGAACCATGAAAGCACAGTAAATTCTTAAATTAATGTCTTCTTACAAATTTATTTTCTTTCTTTATTGACTTTTTGCAAAAATTTTAAATCATATTAATATGTTCATACCTTCAAAATATAAAACTAAAATTTTTTATGTGTATACTGTATGCTGTCACCAACAAAGTCGGCTTGGCGAGATTTGCGCCGGCGAAATGGAAAAGTACCCAAAAGCATTTTAGTAGATTTGTTAGTATTTAAAAACATTCTTCTGTTTCATAGTATTATATCCCTAAATATTGACTATTAACATATGATCCTACTGGTTTAATTTTTCCTATGCATAAATAGATTCCGATTGATTTTGACAATTTTACCGAGCTCTAAAATTTGGCCAAATGGAAAACATTTCCTGACCAAGCATAACATCTAATAATTTTTTCCTGTTGAACTAGAGTAATTATTTTAAAAGATCTGCAATATCCTATAGCTCACATTTTTGCCAATTCTGTGACAATAAAAATGTGAAAATGTTTGAAAATTAAAAAAAAAATATGAGCAAAATATATTTACACAAAAATGTTAACTCGCATCTAAATATTTTGAAAGAATTTAAGCAGGATATTTTCACTTACAACACTTGGGAATTAATTTTAATATAATTACAGTTTTTTTTTTTTTTTTTTTTTTTTCCTAAAAAGAACAAATTTAGACTGTCTGAATATATGCCAAATATATCCCCTTTAAATATAAACTTTCAAATAAATTGCAAACTGCCACGTTTCAGCATCTATTAAAAACTGCAAAATTTGTAAAATATTATTTTGTGCATAGCTTCTAAAAACTAGTGCAGTTTCCATAAAATTTACAAAAAATAAAAAAAAACTCACATATATGCAAATTGAAATTCGGACCCTTGGAATTAACGGGAGTTTGAAGCGGAGTTGAAAACTTATAGAGAGTGCACAAAATGGATAAAACTGAAAACTTGGCTTTCGGGTGTTAATTCGAGCTCAGACTTTGATGGCAAACACTCAAATGCATATCTTTGTTTGGCAAGGTCTCAACATCGCAAAGGATTGTAAGAAGTTAATTATCTAAATTATTAGGAGGAAATTTTCTATTAGGGGTAAAAAACTGCTACCTTGATATCAAGTATCAAGGTAGCAGTTTTTTTCCTCTTCGTCATCTTTTGTCCTGTCCTCCTAGATTTACTGTGCTACGCTCATTCTACTTGAAGTGCCCTTCTATGGGACACGAAGTTCTGACAGCAGCCGGAACACAGCATGAACTTTCCATGCTAAGCTCGGCGTACAGCGAAAGTTGGAGTTAATTGATAATATCCAGCCCTTGATTAGATAATTAACTTGTTGCAATCGTTTGGGAGGTTGAAACCTTGCCAATCAATGATGTGCATTTGAGTATCAAAGTCAGAGCTCGAATTAACATTCGAAAATCAAGTCTTCGGTTTTATCCATTTTGTGCATTCTCTGTGAGTTTTCACTAAACTGATTGTGCAACTTTTGGTATCGTTCATTTGCTCTCCCACCACTGTTTAAGTTCAGGTTGAAATTCTAATATTCCTCTTTTCTATTTCTCTGAGTGGAATGCGACCCTATGTTCTGTGGTAATTATTGCTCAGCTAGATGAGTACTATCACCCCTCTTAATTTGTAAAAACAATTTAGAATCACCCTGTATACTGTACAACCACTTAATATAATGCACAACCAAAAATGACATCTTAGTAGGGCAATTATACTTTTAAAAAGAATGGAATGCAACAGTTGCATTTCCAAAGAAAACAAGAACAGATATTAAGTTAATGAAAGCTTTTCCATACAGATTATAGTAACTCTTTAACAGTTTTCTTTTTTAAAAGGGAACAATTTTGTTTTATAGTTACTATTTAAAAAATGAAGTTTCTATTATATTTAAGGCCCACCAGCGGCCAAGCGGTAAAGTCGCTGAACACTGGTAGTTCGGTTCGCGGTTTGAATCCTGCGAACGGGCTGGCTGCATGGGCATTTTCGTTTGTTTTCCCCATGTGTAACGTGTATACGAGCCAGTTTCCCTTAGAAAGTCCTCCACGAAGGCATCCCTCCCCTTAGGCAGATAGCCCTCATGTGCTTTGCCATAATTAAATACACCAAATCTATTATATTTAAAAGGACATTTTTAAATACTTATCTGCCTTTTTGGAAAACATCCCTATCTTTCTTCATATTTATAAAAAAATGTTTGTTTTCCTACACTTTACCGACCTTTCGGGATTTCCCAAGTTTTCACCTTTTATAAAATAATAGAGTACAAACTCCAATTCTAGACCTCTAGAGACCACCAGTAGGGGGGATGAACTGAAAGCATTCAGATTTTGATTCTGCACCATAGGGTTTGTTAAGGTTTTTTATGGTCTCGCTGAGCTCACGGATTACCTATTTGTTTTAGGCTCACTTTGGCTGATATAACTTTGTCTTTTTAGTGTTATTACAATCCCTCACTTTCTTCACATTTATGGCAGGTAAAATTCAAAAGCAAAATCACAAATTTTTTAAAAACAGTATATCTTTAGAATTCCTTTTGCAATGTTAAATGTTGCCATATATTTTTAACCCAGAAGAGATATCATTCTCAAATCTCACTTTTGTTGTCCATTTCACTTTTCGAATAACTAGCTGCTGATGTGGTCAGTCATA